TAAGATCATTTTTGTAAGGCAACTTTGAATAGCGTCATTGAGGGACTATGATCTTGTATTTGCTTATTTTTGCTAAGATACCTTACATGCATAATATGGCCATTTTGTATAAGGCAGCCAAGTGGAGTAACCCTAGAGGTGCTTGTGTGCAAGTGTGCCATTTTCATGCTTGATTTTGTCTTGAATTAGGATTCTCTATTTGATTGGTTTCATCTTGCCATACAAACCCTAATTACTAGCATATTATATAAAAGCGATAAATTGCGAAATTTAAAGATTATTACGCTATTACAACACTTTGTGGGAGGGGGTGTACAATATATAAATGGGGATTACAATAATATGAACCTAGCTAATATATTACAACCAAATTAAATGTGTAAAAATATTGGGATAAATAATATACAAGATAAATTAAATATGCAAAGATGTATAAATGCAAAGAAGGTTTTGTTTGGTTTTTTATATGAAAAAGTTTTAACCTAAACCTAATAAATAAATCAAGAATAAACTCAAATTAATTAGGAAAGGAAATTATTTTTAGAAAAGATTTTGATTAAACCCTAGTTCTATTTTATCAAAAGGAAAAAAAAATTCTTTAAGAAAAGGTAGGTATTTTTATATTTTTATCTTGAAAATAAGATATGGCATCATGAGATATTTTTGGTCTTTTTATGTTAAAAATAATATGCTTAATGAGTGTGAAGAAAGATAAATAAATACTAAACTAATTTTAAATTAATTTACAAAGTTATTTAATAAAATAGATAATATATATAACTAAAGAAAATATTTTTTTATTGGGAAAAATGAAATAAAATAAGTCAAACTAAAATCTATCATTTTTATATTTTTTGTGATTTTTAATATTAAGAAAATATATTTAATAAAATAAAATGAAAGGTAAAATAAATAAATAAAATTAAAATGGGCCAGGGGTGCTGCAAGCAAATAGGAGGCAGGAGGTTAGCAAAAAAACACAAGGCCCAAAGTCCAGAAGCCCACGCTGCAAAAACAACAAAAAAGGTGGAAAAAATATGAAAAATTGCAAAAGGCAGTGCGCGGAGGCTCGAACCCATGACCTCTAGCATTTTTGCATGCTGCCTTACCACTGGGGTGGCTGTACATCCGTTAATATAAACAAAAGCACATATATATATATATATATATTAGAAAACGCCTCCTGAAGGCAACTTCTTCTTCAACCTTGAGCCATGGCCGGACCACCTGTATCTCTCTCATTTCTCCATGAAAATGGAAAATCCAAACATGAAAGTGATAGTATTTCTTTCCACGATTTCAACCATATAATTCATATAAACTAAAAGTCAAAGATCAAAGCTAATTTTACTGGCCCTAATTTGAAACCTAATTTTTACAGAAATTTCAAATCCAAAATTCTCTATATACAATGAATATAAATGAAATCTATGAACAGGGTTAGCTTTAGTGCAAGGATATCTACATTTTGTTTTCACAAATCAAGACCAAAGGATACTTGTATGAAGAGATAGAAGTTTGAGTTATTACCTCTTTCAGTTGAGATCGTGAATGGAGTTTGAGCAAGCTTTGAGAAGGCCTGAGGATCTGTTTAGCTTGCTTGGACCTCCCTGAGTGTATTCGAATCCTTACTTTGTCTCGAAAGTCTCTGAATCTTCCTACTCAAGTCAACCTGCAATCTTGAAACTTGAAAATGGTGGATGGAGGAGGAGGAGTTACAGTGAGAGAACAGGGGTCTGGAACACTTAGATATGATGTATATTAAGTGTTTAGGTGGTTAAAACTCAAAACGCATGAGTGGTTCTTGAGATTGCTATATTAGGTGCAAAACTGCAAGTTATGGCAGATTTTCAGTGGTAGAGTGTTTGGGAGAGTTTCTGAGCCTTACCATTTGTCTGTTAGGTTGCAATACACTTGTGTATTAGTATGGAAAATGTTATACCTCAAGCTTTCTCAAGCTTTCTGAGTTATAGTCTTTTGGCTCTATTACTTGCTTTTGAAGAAAAGTGAGGAGACAAGTCCCTAACTGTTGTACAAGCATGGTCTGGTTTGGTAGAGGTTTCAGGCAAGTTGCTTTTGGTTTTGGCTTTTCTTGTATGCAGAGAAAACAAGTGCAAGGCTCAAGGAGTGGAAAATTGCAAAAGTTGTGCTTTATCAAAATGGAAATGGCACCTTTGTGCCAAAAATAGAATTATTCTTGTACAATGCATTCAATGCTTGGCTAAAAGCTTACAACAACTGTGAAAACATTTAATTATGGAGTAAAAGTCAAGTTAGGAGCCTTCAAAGTAAGATTTGTTCAGCATGCTTGAGGATTTGAATTTTCTTCATGAAATGGCTTGAAATCAAAGTGATAAATCACCAACTTCATCTCTTCGATTCTCCCTACTCAAGAATGATCTCAAGGAGTTCTTTGACATTTTAGAAAGCTTGAAATGTTCTCCATAATCCATATTTGAATTGATGTTGAATATTCCCCTTATAACTATGTGATAAATTGGCATGAAGTTAGGTAAAAAATCTGCCTAACTAGGGCAAAATTTCACTAAGTTATTTTAGTTCATGAGCATGTATTCACAAAAATTATATCTTGAGATCCAAACATTTTTAGGAGAAATGGCGTGAAGAAATTTTTTTATTTCATGGAGATCTACAACTTTCATGTTGGAAGTTTCCTTTGAATCATCTTGCATCATGGTGAAAATTTGGCTCAAAGTTGAGAAAAAATAAGAAATTTTCTATACTTAAAAAATTTTCTAAGTTAAAATTTTTCAACTTTTCAAAACCAAATCTTAAGTCCTTGATATCTTGATGAACAAGTTTCACATTTTGACATGTTTTGATAAATTATGATCTTTGGCACTTGATTTTGACCAAAAAGTCAAAGTTTGACTTTTCAGTGTAAAGTTGACTTTTGATGAGCTGACTGCAAAATTCATTTGTTAATTCAATGGATTTGTAATGTTTTGGACCATGTCATTAGGTCAAGATTATGCAATTGAACTCTTGAAATCATGCTTCAAATCATTTGATCATTTGCTAGGTCAAAAATCAGAAATTGCCCTTTCTCAGTCAAAACCCTAATTTTGACCATTTAGCCCTTCTGGAGATTTGATCAAATTTCTTGAGGAATTATGGTCCAAACTAGATCAAATGATACATATGAGTTAAAAATGTTGACGTGGATAAAAAATTATGAAGTTTGACTGTAAATTGGCCATGATTGACTTTTTCCCCAATATAGTTGATTTTTAGGTCAACTGTCCAATTGACTGATCAAAAATGTGATTCAAGGCTTGAATCTTGGCATGAGTAAATCTTGGGGGTCCATAATGATCCTTGAAAGTCATATGAAGCATTGATAGTCCAAAAATCCTTGTGCAAACTTAAACCCTAATTTTGGTCATCAGTGCATGAGTAGGTGACTTGAGCTGGCCAAACCCTAATGCAGTCTTGAGTCAAAGAAATCTTGTGAGAAAATTTTTGATAAATGAGAGGGCAAATTTTGGGGTACAACATATGCCTTTGTATGAATCCACTGGAGCATGTGATCACGAAATTCAAATTCTTGTTCATTTTTAAATTGGTTTCCAATATCTACCCCCTTCACAACTACACGTGAGGCATCTATAGACATAATAGGTTTGAGGAAAACATCGGGATGCACAATTTTTAATGAAAACCAAAATTTAAAATACTCAGAAATCTAAATTGAAAATAGATTGTTGGAAAATCAGAATAGATAGCATCCGAAAATGCATCTCTGGATAAATTCATAGAGAGTTTGAAGATATATTTTCGGATACAATGTAACTTTTTTCAGCTTCAAAACATGATTAATGTGAGCAATAAGACTTGAAATAAATGAACTTTACCTTGAATTCCAACTTCTTCTGCTCCTTTTGATTTGATGAAACACAAAAATGAAGTTTTGGAGTGAAAATCTTGATTGAGAATAGAAAGATTTTTGGAAAGGGTTTATGGAAAAATGGATATGAGGACTGATCATGCAGATGACTGTTTTTAACAATAACATATTTGATTTTTCCCGAGATGCATCTCTAGAATAATCTGACATGCAAAGGTGACAAATTAGTAAATTTCCGCTTTAAATGTTCAAAAATTCATCTCCGTATAACTCCCTAGAATGTGCAACTAAAAATACATTGGATACTATTCAACGGAGATGTATCTCCGGAATAAAATTTTGTTTGACAATAGAGTGAAACCATTTTTACCCGTTAGCATATGATACAAATGATACATCCAAAAATATATTATTGAAAATTGAGAAACATTTTCGATTTTTCATAGGACTCTTTTCCACATCATAGGGTGGGCTAAAAAATTCTCAAAAACTAATAGAAACTTTACTTCTCAAAAATATTATCTTTTAATTTTTTCCTATTTTATACTATGAAAATTTTACCATACTATCCTCTTTCTATTTTTAAGACATTCTAATCCCCTCGATATTTTGTTTTCCATATTTAGCAATCATAAACAAATCCTCTATTTGTTTCTTATTTATGGTTGTGAAGCTACTGGCCATGAGTTATTCATGGTTTTGAAGCTATTGGCCATGAGTTATTCTCGTTTATTTGCTGTCCAACCTCACATTACCTCAATTTGTTGCATAACCACTTTAGGTAAATGTATATATATATATACCTCTTCATTCCTCAATACCAATTCATTAAATCAATCAACCAGAATTCATATAACATCTCAAAGAAACTTGAAAGTATAGTTTTCCACTAGTTATTCTTTTTCGTCTGCATTCTCTCTCTGTGTTTCATTCAAGGGCATAGAGAGAGATTGAACTAATAAATAATAAAGCTTCATCAAGCGTCACGAACACCACCGCTACAAACAAGCTGCAATGGCAGGAGAACAAAGGCCCGCGATGAAGCCATGGATGGAGGTTGCACCTTCACTTCTTGAGTTCCCTTGGAAACCCTCCAATATTCCTACGCTAGAGACCATATTTGAAGACAGAGATGAAGAATGTGAAGAAGATGGTCTTGCTGACTTTTGATTGTTTTATGCTTTCATTTCTTGCGTCCATATTTTGTAAAATAGAGAGACGTTATTTAAAACAATTATTAGCAGCATATAGAAACTATCAGAGGTTGAATGCCATTTTCTCTCATATGTTTCAACATTGCATAGTTGAATTTGTAAATAATCCCTTTGTTGTGAAATAGTGAAACCAAGGAACTCAGAAATTTGAATATGTTTGCCTCTTTTTTCTTTAATCGTATTATCGTTTAGAATATGATATGTTTATAATTGATTCAACATCAATGGCGTTTACTCTAATATCATGCAGGCTAAAAGAGGCATCAAGCAGGGGGATCCCATCTCCCCATTCATAACTATTTACCCCTGATTGAGAAGATTGTTAACAGAATGAAGCATTGGACAACAATCTATCTTAGTTATGTAGGAAGAACTCAGTTGGTGAAAAGTGTCTCTTGTGCCATAACCTTTTATTGGATGCAAAGCCTAGCTATTCCAAAGCATGTGATTAGTAAAATTGAGTCTATTTACAGAAGTTTTATCTGGACAGGTAGTCATGAAATCATCAGGAAAAGTCCAGTTGCCTGGAGCAATGTTTGCAAATCCAAAAAGCAAGTTGGTTTAGCCATAATCAACTTGTCTACTTGGAACACTGTGAACTTGTTGAAGTGTCTTTGGAATATTTGCAGGAAAGCTGATAACATGTGGGTCAAATGGGTCCACACATGCTATCTTACATCATTAGCTTCCGTTAAATGAATGCCCGTGGCTTAACCAATATCTCTTAATATGAGTCAGTCCAAATGGTTGCAGCAGTGTTAGACTACACTTATCTAAAGAAGATTGTGAGTCAACAACTGATGTCTTAATTGGCTAATAATATCAGAAAAATTGAGAAATTGAATATCGAAAAAGAGAAGCTTAAGAAAAAAAATAAGATTCCCTATTGAGAGAATTAAAACTCCATGAATTCATAATGGTGAGAGCTTGAAATAAAGAAGAAGTGAAAATTATTATTGAATCACTTAGTTCTTTACAACTGATGCATGAAGCTATATATACAATATGAGAAGATGTATGGTAAGACTCCTACACTAGCATGCATATGATAGACATAACAGAAAACTGTTATGGCTGTTACAATCATGTAATCAACTAACTGCTATGCTAACTTATATTACAAGTAAGCTAGCTTAACTACTTGACCATGCAGTGAGATTGCTCCACATGTATTCCAATCTTCAATATATAATCATTTAACACCCTCCCACAAGCTTGAGCATGATATATGTCAATCATCCCAAGCTTGGATACGAATTCTTTGAATTTTGGTGGAGCAAGTGCTTTTGTTAGAAAATCCGCAAGTTGCTCTTGAGTTGATATTGGCAGAAGTTTAAGAACATTCTCTTGAACCTTTTCACGAATAAAATGGCAATCTATTTCTAGGTGCTTTGTCCTTTCATGAAACACGGGGTTGGAAGCTATATGCATGGCACTTTGAGAGTCACAATACAATACAGGTTATTTGTCACACACGATATCCAGATCTTTCAAAAGATAAAGAAGCCACTGTAATTCACATGCTGTTGTAGATAAGGCAGATATTCTGCTTCTGAAGAAGGTCTTGAAACAATAGCTTGCTTCTTTGTGCACCATTATATGAGAGAATCTCCTAGAAAGAATATGAAACCTATGGTGGATCTTCTTGAGTCATGACAACTAGCCCAACCAGCATCCACATAGCCTCGAATTTGAGTGCATGAGTTTCTAGGGAACAAAATGCCTTTACCAGGATTTTGTTTTAAGTATCTTATCACCTTAGAAGCTGTTTTGAAATGAGTGATGGTAGGTGAATTTATAAAATGGCTGAGCTGTTGTGTGGCCAGAGAAATATCAGGTCTTGTTGTATTAAGATATAAGAGCTTCCCAATAATTCTTCTGTAGGTGGAAACATCTTCAAAAGTTTGGCTATCATCTTGATAGAGTTTTGTAGATGGACCAAGAGGTGTACTTTCTGGTTTTGATCCAAGGAGCCTCAATGATTCAAGAAGATATAAACAATATTTTCTTTGGGAAATGTATATGCCATCTTTAGAATGTGCCACTTCCAAACCCAAAAATACTTGAGAATGCCAAGGTCTTTGATCTTAAAGTTAAGGTCCAAAATAACTTTGATTCAAGAGAATTCCACCAGAGAATCACCAGCTATGATGATGTCATTGACATAAACAAGAAGAGAAGTGAATGTACCTTCATTTTTTAGGATAAATAAGGAGTAATCTGAGGTAGATTGAGAATATCCTTGTTGAATGAGAAGGTGAGTCATTTTTTCATACCATTTTCTGACTTGCTTGTTTCAAGCCATACAAACTCTTTTGGAACTTGAAAACTTGGTTAAGAGCAGCCATAACGCCATCGGGTATGGACATGTAAACATCTTCTTGCAAATCACCATGCAAGAAAGCATTGCTTACGTCCATTTGGTGGATATGCCAGTTTCTCAGAGAAGCTAAAGCAGTCAAGAGTCTAATTGTGGTTAATTTTGCTACTGGGGAAAAAGTGTCGAAATAGTCCAAGCCTTCTATTTGATTGTAGCCTTTGGCTACTAATCTAGCTTTATACCTCTGAATAGAGCTATCAACTTTGTGCTTTACCTTGTAAACCCATATGTTGCCTATAGGTTTAACATGAGGAAGTTTATAAACTATCTTCCATCTGTTGTTTGTGGCCAGAGCTGCTAATTCATCCTTCATGGCTTGTATCCAACATTTATGATGACAAGCTTACTTATATGTTCTAGGCTCAATGCATTTTGTAATATTCATGGTAAAATTCTTTTGAAGAGTGGATAAACGATCAAAAGAATGAAAAAAGGAAATGGGATAAGGAGTACCTGAGGATGATGATTCTGATTGACTAGAGAAAGAATTGCAAACATAAACATGCAAATAAGAGGGGGGTGTTTAGGTCTAAGGGATCTGGTTGAATGAGTGTGATTATGATTGTCAACAAGAGTAGTTTGGAGATGTTGATTGGGTGAAGGAATGGCACAAGGTAAAGGCTGAGTAGGTGTTGGTTGGTATTGGGAACGGGAAATATGATCAGTTTCAGTTGTGGTTAGGGTATCAGAAGGGACAAGTATTTGACCAGATTCAGGTATATTAGGTTCAGGTGCATTAAGTTCAGATTTATTAGGAGTATCGAAAGTGGAGTGATAAGTCCATGTAGGAACATGTTTAGATGAGTGATATGGTAAAATGTGTTCATGATGGGTGATGTCTCTGGAAACAAAAACATCATTTGCGGTGATGCCAAGAAGAATAGTGCCTTTCATGCCAGATTTGTAACCAAGAAAAACACATTTTCTGGCACGAGGGGAAAGTTTTGTTCTGTGTGCTTGAAGTGTAGTGGCAAATACAAGGAAACCAAACACATTAAGCTCATTCATATTAGTATGTTGTTGATGCATGATAAAGTAATGTGATTGATTATGAAGAATGAGGCTAGGCAACCTGTTCATGATGAAGGCCAAAAAGGTTTAGGAAGATGAGATTGAAAAAGAATGGCACGAGCAATGTTTAGAATATGTTGATGCTTTCTCTCTACACGACCGTTTTGTTAGGGAGACTCAACACAACTAATTTGGTGTAGAATGCTATGAGAAGCATAAAAGGAAGAAATTCTAAATTCTGGACCATTGTCAGTTCAAATGGTCTTAACTTTGTGGCTATGTTGCGTTAGGATAAGATTGATGAAGTCTATGACATGTTGCCTAGCTTCACCTTTGGTTTTCATTAAGGCGAGCTAGGTAAACCTACTGCAGTCATCAATAGCAGTTAAAATATAGCTATGCCCATGTATGGAAAGGATAGTAATTGGTCCCCAAATGTCAAAGTGAATGAGATCAAAGGGGTGTGAGGCTTTGCTTAAGCTGTTTTAGAATGGCAGTTTTCTTTGCTTTTGTAAAATGGCATAAATCACAAACAGATTTACAATCAACATTGATAAAAGGGAAATTTGAATGTAAAGTAGTCATGGTTTTTACAGATACATGGCCAAGTCTAAAATGCCAAATGGCATGGTAAGGCAAAGTAATAGAAGTAGATCTAGAATGACACACTGTCTTATTTTGCATAATTAAGAAATACAAATCTTGCACTGTCACTATAACCAATCCTCCTCTGCGTGCTCTTTTCCTGAATACAACAAGTAAGGTTATTAAATTCGACAGTGCAATCAAGAGATTGACACAGTTTTGACACATAAATCAGGTTTAAAGAGAAGGATGATACATAAAGCACATTGGTTAAAATTAATCGTGTAGAAATCTGAATTGAGCATGCATGTTTGACAATGACATATTGTCTTGTAGGAATTCTAACACTTATAGGAGTTATTTCAAAGTAAGATTGGAACCATTTTAATGAACCACACATGTGATCACTTGCACCCGAATCAATGATCCATGAATCAAAAGTAAGATTCTGACATGAAAAGGAGTAAGAAAGATTGGAATGATGCTTACCATTAGATGGCCCAGCTGATGGAAGAGAATGAACTTGGTTTGAAGAAGCATTGAGGTTAGCTTGTTGTAAAAGATTCATGAGTTGCTCATATTGCTCAGGGGTAATGGAAGGCACAACATGAACAACAAAATGATGAAGGAGTTATGCGATGATTTCAAGATTGAGCATCATAATTTGTCACCTTACCGACCCAAGATGAACGAGACCGTCAAAGCTGCCAATAAAAATATCAAGAAGATCATTCAGAAAATGGTGAAAACATATAAAGATTAGTATAAAATTCTTCCCTTTGCTCTACATGGCTACCGTACCTCAGTACGTACTTCGATAGGTGCAACCCTTTTCTCTCTTATTTATGAAATGAAGGTTGAACTCCCGTTGAAGTAGAGATTCCATCACTACGAGTACTAATGGAAACCAAACTTGAAGAATCAGAATGGGTTCACACGTGACTTTATCAACTCAACCTTATTGAAGAGAAACACTTAACAGTTTGTGCCACAGACAGTTGTACCAATAGCGGATGAAGAACGTGTTTGATAAAAAGGTCCATCCTCGAGTGTTCAAAGAAGGAGATCTAGTCATCAAGAAATTTTTGCTACCTCGTCTAGGTTCACGTGGTAAATGGACACCTAAATATGAAGGTTCATATGGAGTTA